GTGTGAAATAATTAGAAGCAGAGGCTCTGAAGCCAGGTTACTTAGGTTCAAATATCAGTACTGCCTTTTTTTTTTTTAATTGGGGAATTGGGAGATGGGAACAGCGCTGGGGAATTGGGGGAAGGGGAACAGACAAGTTGCTGTCATTTTTTTGTTCTTCAGTCTAGTTGTGGAGGACGTTGCTTCACTGGCCCAAGTTGGCACCATCATTGCGCTCTTCCCCGGCGAGGCAGATCAGTCGCTGGCTTCTGGACGGCCACTCACTGCGGCTGCTGGCCGCTCACGCTGGCTGCTGGCTACACACGGTAGCCCATAGCAACCCACTGCCACAGGGGCTGCAGCCTACACCATTGCCAGCGACTCACGGCAGCCCAGCTCCAGGTTGAGCTGTTGTTCAGCATCTTAGCTGTAGAGGGCAGCGTCACTGGCCCTCATATGTGGCATCCGAACCAGGGCCCTCTGGCGTCCCAAGCCAGTTCTTAACCATCGCGCCACTTAGCCGGCCCCTCAGTTTCTTTTGCTTGAACTTTGACAGCAGGGGTAGTAAACTTCTGCAATTTTTGTTAGAGAAGTGAAGGAATTCCCCTATTTTTTGCAGCTCTTTTGTTCATATGTTTGGCTACCAATTCCCCGCTCACTGTGGCTGCTGGCTGCTCACGCTGGCTGCTGGCTACACACGGTAGCCCATAGCAACCCACTGCCACAGGGGCTGCAGCCTACGCCATTGCCAGCGACTCACGGCAGCCCAGCTCCAGGTTGAGCTGTTGTTCAGCATCTTAGCTGTAGAGGGCAGTGTCACTGGCCCTCATATGTGGGATCCGAACCAGGGGCCTCTGGCGTCCCAAGCCAGCTCTTAACCAATGCACCACTCGGCCGGCTCAGTACTTCCTCTTATTAGCTGCTGTGACCCTGGGTAAATTTCTTGACCTTTCTGTGCTTCAGTTTCCTTATCTATAACCTAAAAATAATAATATCTTCCTTAATAAATTGTTATGAGGATTAATTGAGCTAATATATAAAAAACCCTCAGAACAATGCCTGGCATATAGCAATTACATATCTGCTATTATTAGTTATTGCCACAGTACTACCATTGCTCAAAATGTTTTTGGACCACCTTTTTGGAGCATTGTATTCAAGATCTTAAACATACTCCCTTGAATCATCTCAATATGGATAACATTTCCTGAAGATGTGCTAATTCTTGGGAACAGTCAAGCTGTTTGGTGTTTGAAATAAGGTATCCTTATGAAGTCAAGAGCTTGATGTAGTGCTGCTCATCTACTCTTTATGAAGAATTCCATAAAACACACATGCACATACACACCCAGACAGTTCAGCACCATCTAGGGGTTGGTTGATCACTGGGTAATGAATAGGCTCTGCCTCTGCTATAGAGAGATTAAAAAATAAGTTTTAATTATGAGACATTTACATTCCATTGATCTTGAAGGCTTTGCAGACTAGCGTACAGCCAAAGGAGAAACTTCATAAAAGCCTGATTTACCTTCAAATTCAAGCCTTTTTTTCCTTCAAGTTTACTGATGCCAAGTTTTAAGTATGAAATGTCATTGTTTTCACATAAATATTCTCAAATATTTCCAGTTGTCATTTTGACATTAAATAAGATTGCAATATATAATGGTAACATTAGCATTTTAACCTCATTGCTCTTCTGTAAATCGTTGCAGGCTTGAATTATGCTATACGTAATCTTAAAAAAACAAAAAACAAAAACTAATGAGGCACTAAAACCAGTTAGGAGTGGATGAAAAGAATGGCAGCCGCCTTCTTCTGCTGGGATACTAATGGTCTCGTGTTAGCCCAATTATCACCCTAATAGAACATGTTGCAATGGTGTGCCTCTTGGAGTACATAAATAAAGGTGAATAAAATGTGCGCTGAACCTTCTTTTCCCAAGATGCAAAGGATTTTGATAAAATCTAACTGGGTTGTCGCAAAACAAAAGAATCGCCATGTTCCTAATTACTGAATTCTTTACAAAATATTTTCCAGTTTAAAAAAAAGCCTTTACTGATCTAGCATCAGTAGGGAATATTGTGTTCCACATAAATGATTTTGCAAAGAAATTTAAGTATACGTAATGTCTCCAAATGTGAATTTTAATCTTTCTGGCGGAAATCCTTTTTAAAAATACAAATCCAAACCACAATGAGAGAGCATCTCACACACAGTGGCTATTATCAAAAAGTCAACAAATAACAAGTGTTGGCAAGGATGCGGAGAAGAGAACCCTTGTGCTTTGCTGATGGGACTGAAATTGGTGCAGCCACAATGGAACACAGTATGGAGGTTCCTCAAAAAACTAAAAATAGATCTACCATATGACCCAGCAATTCCACTTCTGGGTATTTATCCAAAGAAAATGAAGACCCGAATTTAAAAAGATGTATGCATAGCCCTGTGTTCATTGAAGCACTATTTATAATAGCCAAGATATGGAAGCAACCTAAGCATCCATCATTAGACTAAGCGATAGGGAAGATGTGGTTCATATATACAATGAAATATCACCCAGCCTTAAAAAGAATGAAATCTTGCCATTTGTGTCAACATGGATGGACCTAGAGGGTATTATGCTAAGTGACACAAGTCAGACAGAGAAACACAAATACCTACCTGACGGTTTCAATTATATATGGAATCTAAACAAACAAACAAACAAAACCAGACTCATAGAAACAGATCACACTGATGGTTGCCAGAGGGGAGGAGGGTGAGATGGGTGGGTGAAAAAGGCCAGGGGAATATAGTCAGTAATATTGTGATAAGTTTGCACGGTGACATATGATTACTACACTTAGCATAGTGATCACATTACAAGGTATATAAATGTTGAATCACTATATTGTATACCTGTAACTAATATATTATTCTATACCAATATTTTAATTTTTAAAAAATGTATTACCTGTGCACTTGAATTCACTAAACAGACAGTATTACTATTACAGACTTCTACTATTGTCCCAAAGGGGCAAAGTAGCATGGTGAATAAGAACACAAACTTAAGAATGTAATAAATCTAGGTTTGAATCTTGACTGTGCCACTTACCCACATGTGAGATCTTAAAGAAGTTACTCACCCTGTCTTCAGATTAATTTTCCTCATTTTTAAAGTAAAGATTAATATCTAAATCATAAGGTCACTTTTATAATTACAAAAACGTTCAGGTTAGCACAGTGACTGGTGAAGAACAGGGGCTCAATAGAAAGGAATTATTATTCCAATTGAGTGGACTACTTAATGTGTAGGACTGTCACTACTGGGCCTATAGGGCCTATGCTAAGTGGCCCCAACCATTGCTTGTTGAGTTCCTTTATTTCTAAGAAAAGTTTTCTGATAGTTTAATATAAGGCTCTTAAATTTTTCTTATTGTCAGGGTATCTGCCTTTAGCAGTCTCTTTCCATTGTTAATTTGCTGTGGGCTGGGGAACCAGATACTTATAGCTGACAGATGTAGTCAGAATTTGGGGGATACACTGAAGTGTCCCCAAGGTTTCAAAACTTGTCCTCCCAGAGTTAAACTTTAAAATCAACACATAGTAGGGAGAATCACCTTACAGATACAATGGCTCTCAAGTAAGGAAGATTTTATTGTCATCCAGTCTGAATGCATTAACATTGTTTAATGTTAACATTAACATTCGGACTATAGAATGTTACAGTAAGGGGTGTGAGTGCTCAAACACAAAATACAGAAAAAGATGGTTCAGAGTGTCAGGTAATGGGCAGTGCCCAAGCCTCACCCAGGCGAAACTTTCAAGAAGGGACTTCAAGGATTAAGACCCCATTAGCAAGCTTTCCTAAATAAAAATGGATACAGGGAATTGTAACCTGAAGGTTTCAAATACTAAGCTCACATAGAGTCAATTATTCCTGTAGTGGAGTGTCAATCATTCATTTGTTCATTCAGTATTTATGGCACAACCACTATTCTCTCCTAGACCCCTCCCACTTCCTGTGTCCATGCTTACCAAGCAACCTTCTACTTGTGACTGGCTTCCTGGGTAGATCTCCCTATAGGGGGAGACTGTACTGGCCATGCTAACATTCCAAGTGACAGGACTATTTACTATGGTGAGTTAATACATGGGCATTACAATTTTGTTGCATAATCAGTCTCACGAGTGTGCTTAAGGTGCATTTGCCCACCAGAGATTAATTCACTATCATGTGTTGACAAAACAAATTATCTAAGCCTAGAAACCTAAGGGCTAGGCCACGAACAGGTACATTCACCCAGGTGGTAGGTATCCCCTTGGGATTTCTCTGGGTGCAAGGTACTGGGTTGAATGTGTTCTTTCTGACACTGAATAATGATAGGAGGCAGTGGGGCACGGTGATCGAGAACAGGATCTGGGGTCAGAAATACCTGGCACTGAAGGCTGGTTTTGTTATTTACTCTCTGGTTTCCCTTAAACGAGTTAGTTCACCACTCTGAGCCTCTTTTTCCTTATCTATGAAACAGGATGATAATACTTCAGTTTCATTTGGGCTCCATGTTTAAACAAGAGCAGCATACTAGAAGATCTGTTAAATCAAAAACACTTGCCTCCTCCCCCAGGTTCCACACTTTCCAATCCTGACTTATAGGTCCACTTGCCATTCATTTATGGATCACAGGCAAGTGCAGCATTTCTTCACCAAGCTTCACTGCCCATGGAAACCTCCTAAAAGTGCTCTTTGACACAAAGTTCATTGTACTGCTGTCCTTTTCTCTCTTAGATTTGAAAGTTGCCTTCAAATGCAGTTACAGCTTTAAGGGATCCACTTTACTCATTGCCCCTCCTGAATAATTGTTTATTTCGAAACAACCTCCTTGAAATCTCCCCACTGCTCAGCCAACACAAAGACATCGTGTTCTTCAAGGAGCCACCATCTGAGACCAGATTGTTAATAACAAAACTATTCCAGGTCTTAGCGTTCTCTCATCTATGAAATAAACATCCTTCTAAAACAGACAAATCAAATGGTGTTCAGAGACTATATTAATCATCTTTATTGCACTCAAAAAAACAACTCAAGACACGCGTAGAGAGTGGATTTTCAAATAGATGTTTTCTTGACCCAGTTATATTTTTATTCAGTGAAAAAGTTGACATTGAGACAAAAATTATCTTAAAATTGTGCAACAATATAGTAAAATCTTCAGCAGAATTCAGTGATTTGGAAACTTATCAAGGCAACTGAAATTATAAATACCTATTTTCACTTTGGAGAGAAACAAATATACAGTGTTTTACTTTACATAAGAGCAGAGTAGGCCTTTATTTTGCTGCAAATACTTTTCATTTTGCCTAAAAGTTTCTAATAATTCATAACAAGAGTCTTTAAATGAAAACAACATGGAATATCTGGGAATAATGTCCCAGTTCAGAATTCATACATATTCCATTTTAGCTATGACACATGAAACTAATACCATTCTTGGGTCATTTGGCTCTGATGATTTAATTCATAATATGGCTGCTCGGAATTAGTGGGCAGGAACATATATACAACCTGTCCTCCCTCAATCCATATCCAGTGGTGATACCCCTTCTGAAAACATGTTTATTGTTCACGTACCCAACAGTACATATCTCTTGCTATCTATTCCATATCTCAGTCTTGCATAGAAAGTAGTCTATATAAACTTAATGCACTGACTTTTATTACACAAAAATTGTACCTGAAAGGCAGCACACACTCCCGTTAAGAAAAATAACATAATTGGAATGTCAAGATACAATCCCAAATCAAGTAAAGATTCTGAATAGAGTTTTAGAGTGAATTCTGAAAATCAATATGGAGGTGGTATTCAATTTGCTTGCACCCCTGTATCCTTTTCTCTAAGGGACCTACCAATTCTCTGCCAGAGGAAGAGAAAAATCTTTTCAGGGATTCACCATGACCTCCTCAGCAGGAAAGTGATCAACCAAACCTGATGGATGGGGTTCCTGCCCTTAAGGAAGTACTGGGAATATAACCTTACTAAATGGAGTGGCTGCTAGGTGGCTATTTGAAGGCAGGATTCTCCATGGAGAAGTGGGTGATTATCTATAAGGGCGTCACAACACCATCACTCCCCCCAGTTCCTCCCAAAATGACCACTGCTTTGAGAAGGGTGACATTCCTTCAATTATGGAAGTATAATTTAATCTAGTGGACCACACATGATGCGCAGGCGAGACCATGCAGCTGTGTGTCCCACATCTGTCCCACCCAACTACCCCTAGTGATACCACCAGAGATGGAACCCCAGGAACCCTTCTTCCCAAGTCAGAATTTTCAACCAGCTACTCAGAATCGTAACTCCCTCCCTAGTTTTCCAGGGTAGCCAGTAGTTAGTTACTGGCGCATCTCACCTGCCTGGGGAAAGACATGACTTCTCTCTGGAATCCTCTGCAGAACTCTACTCTCTGTCATGTTATCTGCATAAACTCATGTCTCATAAGGCTCAAGGGCATTCAATACATAAAGGGGCAAAATCAGCTTCCAGAGAGAATTTGTACTCAACCCTGCTGCCTGCCAAATTTTCGTGGTGCATTAGTGGTCCATCACGGTCATGGATGTGCACTTCCAATGCACATTCTAATGTGCCCTGGGAGAGAACAAAACTTTTTCCCTGTACAGTGTGAACTTTTGAGGTGGCATCGCCAATGAGGTACAACAGCCCCTTGTTCAACCAGGAGCTCCAAGTGGTCACAGTGAAGACAATTATACGGTCACTCTCAAAGGCTGCACACAGTTTTAATTTCCTATTGTCACTCCAACCTCTGGACTCTTGCAGACGGCATATATACATCAAAACTCCACAAAGCTATGCAGAGGGAAATAAGAGTGCGTGCTTCAAAAGTTCATAAAAAATATATGATTTACACATAGCTGCATCTATCTAGCTTAGTCTTCAGGAACTTAGCTCTTCTGTTTATATAAAATACTGTAGCCCTAAAGGGTTGCATTTTCTCAAACAGCACAGTGGCATTTTTCAAAGGAGAAGGGTGATGGCCAGTCTGTACAGTACTGTGTACTAACCCCTGGGAGGCACTGGGAACGAGAATTCGATGCTCAGAAATATCTTAAGTTGCCAACTGGAGGCACATGCTCTGTAAAAAGGCTTGCCGAAAGAATAACTCAAAATGAAGTCTCAGAGCCTTTTTTAGATCAGCTTTTACCAATGCCACCAAAAAGTTGGCAGAAAAATAAAAGAAGAAAATATACTTCCTAGTAGTTCAATGAAATGACTTGCCTCCCACCAGACTTAATCTTTCAGCTATTTAAGGAGCTTATTAAAGTGGAGGTGGTAGGGCTTAGAATTGTGAACGAAACTCCAAGGTAAGTTAAGATGAGATAAAGCCAAAGAAACGCCAGTCTTTAAAAAAAATTAACAAAGGAGAGAGATAGCAAAGAAGAGAAAATATGCTGGCAGGAGATTCATCATTACCACCACTTGTTAAAATAACATGGAGCCTTACTAAAAAAATATAAGTGGCTCTTTGTTTTCCAAACAATCCCTAGGTAGAAGGAAACTATATTATCGCCCAAGAATGACTCTTGTGGTTAAAAGAAAGCAAATACTTGTGAGACGACGGTATATTGCGTCTGAGAGGAGATGAGGTTTTTAGGGAGCTGGTAGATAAAGGACATATTCGCAAGCGTGACTCTGGACTCTCCCCAGAGCTCAGTGCTTCTCGGACGGAAGAAGTTCTGCAGTGAGGTCCATACAGTAGAAGTCGCGACAATGCTAGACATTGGTGCCTAAACATTAAATCGAAAGGGTGGGTGGGCATCAGTCTGCAATGGATTCCACATACCTGTCATGTAGCCAGGATTTGAATACAAGGGTGGCATTTAAAGGAAGAAGACAAAAAATCTCAGCTTATTTTACATAAACTCTAGTGTTGCTGCTACTGTGAACTGGATCAAAGGGTTTCAAATTCGTAGACCTTCTGTATCTCTGTAAGAGTGAAGAGCACTTTCTCTTTAAGTTGGGCAAGGGTATGGGCAAGGGAGGTGGAAGAAAAGAAAAATAGAGAAGGCACTGACCCAATTCAAAATGACTGCATATATCGGTATGGATTTTTAAGGACAATAAGTGGTCACCCCAACACAAATATAGAACTTTACATTCGAGATTCTTCAGTGATAAGTAAAAACAAAACAAAACAAAAATCAAAAATGCTTCTACATTTGCCAGTGTATCTATCACGGCACAGGTCTCTCCCATAACCAGAGTAATTTTTTGCAATGACAATGACACCAGTGTATAAAATAGCAGTGTTATCATTTTGTAGCTTTGAAAGCTACATCTTCTACAGAAGCATATATAGTAAGAGTCCATCAATTAATATGAGAGGAAGCTGTTGCTTGCAAGGCTTCCCAAGCTGCAGCTCTGTTTAACTAAAATGGAGCAATGACTCAACACGCTCTCCTGCCAAATACCATTATGTGACACACCAAGTTAATAAAAACAGATTATTTCCAGAATGGCAACAAACTGCTTCCGTTCCTCACCCCTCAGTCCTATGGACGAGGGGCTCGTAACATTTGTGGTGTCAGATGACCACTAAAACCTTGCCTTTTACAGTCCCAATAAATTAACAAAATAACATGAAAGAACCTTCCCCCATAATACACCCAAACACTTTCACATAAACTAAACCCAAACAAAATTTAAACTTTGAGCACACTTTCAAGGAGGAGGGATTCCACCCATCACTTTCTCTTGAAGTCTTTATTAAATACATTTCTGTGTCTTAGAAAAATAAAAAGAATGGCCAATTTATTGAACCAAAATTATCTCACAGACTTAAAAGCATGCCCAGCAAGCACAGCCCTGTAAGACTACATTAATATCAAATCAAAGCAATTTGGTGACTAAAATCAACCTGGTTTGAAGTTCACAGTTGATTACTACAAAGTTTATTCATTCCTTCCTTTCTTTTTTTTTTTGTTTTTGTTTTGTTTTTGGCCCATATAAAAATAACATATTGCAACTCAAAGTGCATCTTTTAAAATAAACCATCAACTATCTTTATCAAATAAAATATTTACACCATTTGGTTTCTAGTGAGGAAAGCTCTTTCAGGCTATCACCATAGGGACGTCATCTGAAAATCCAGTTATCATCGGGGCATCTTCGTCGTCCTCTCCTAAAGGCAAAACAGTCAGTCCTTAGTGAGTTCCAGTGCACTTCTGTCTGACCCCACCTCCCACCGCTGTGCGTCTCCCATCCCCCACCACCTCACAAGCCCCAGCTTCTCTCTGACACTCTTAGGTCACCTTCTCCCCATCAAGGAAGGGGTGGCCAAGCTTATTTTAACGCTAGCATGAATTTAATCAAATAAATAAAGTCAATCTTTTAGGAAGGAGACCCTTACTACCTACCCAAAAGTCTAATGGATAGTTTAAGATCCCCAATTTGAGTTATCCACATCCTATGTTAGCACAGCGGACTTCATCGTCTATTTTCTCCTTTGAACCCACACTACCCTAAGAAAAGGTTCTTAGGGGGGGTTTAAGCGTTTTGAGGACAGCTTCCCAGCCAAATAGTTGTCACCTCGTGGTACAATGCTTGCAACTAAGTGCCAATCCGAATTTAGTAATCACTGCATGGCACCATAATGGGTCAACTCCTTTTGCTACAATAATAGAAGCAAAGGACCCACTCCATTCATGCAAGGCAGTCCAAGAACTTATAAAAAAGCAAGACAGGAAACTGAGAGGAAAAGCAAACAGAGCTAATATCAAATGATCAGTGAACGGGAATACATAAATGTCTTTACAAACAAACAAACAAACAAACAAACAAAATTATAACTAGTTTACAGGAAAAAAAAAAAAAGTAAACTCACATTCAGCATTCTGAGTCTGGAAAAGCCTGAGATTGGGAAGGTCCCCAAACACACCTACTTTGTTACGTTAAGTGGTCTACTAGCTCGATGAGCATTTGGTCTTGTGAGCATGAAGGCATTTATAAAAGGGACATTTCCTTGTTTTCCCCATGCTACATGTTATCAATAAAAAAAAAAAAATGGTCAGTGAGGTTTCACTAACAATCAGAAAGAAACAGCAAGATGGAAAGGAGTTCTTTGGACAAAGGCCGACGGGGAAAGCATGACTTTTTTGTCTTGACTGGGATTTCCAGAGATATCAGACCTCCACATCTGTGAAGAATGAGGGACTGGAAATTCTAGAGAATCTGCTAACACAAAGCCTAGGGCCTGTCCTTCCTGTACAAGCAAGCTCCACGCAGTGCTTCCACAAAACTGCTCCCCACCTCGGGCCAGACCACACTACTGAAGAGACTACCGAATGGTCCTTTAATTTAGGAGCCAATTCAAAGCAAAGGGCTCCAACTGGTTTAACCCAAAGCAGTGAGACCGCTGGTTAATGCATAACTCCTCTAGAGTCAAAAGATGAGCTTAAAGTAGGTACTTCCTAATCAAGTCACTGGCTTTGTAGGGTCTGCCCGGGGAGAAAGAACCACATACCCAGATCGTCCCCTGAGGAGAAAATGGCCGAGCCCAGCCTGGAGCTGTAGTGGCTATTGGCGAAGGCAGTGAAGCTGCTCTGCAGCCTCCGATGCTTTGTGTACAGGACGGCAAACCCGGCCCCGAGGCTCAGCAGTATCAGGAACAAGATGGGCACCACCACGGCAGCAACATCAGTCGATCTGGCAGCCTGAAGCGCTGACGCATCCCCACCTGCCAAGGCAAGATGCCAACCGGTGAGCCTTCTGCGTGAGGGCAGGGGAAAGGATCAGGCAACTCCTGAATGCCCCAACCACCCAAAAAGCTAGGAATTTGCAACAGCCACCCAAACTGCCTGTCTGGCATGACATGTCCCAGCACGTGACACCTGAATGTTTCCCGACTGCTTGTCATGAGCTGATGGATCCTGGGCCTTGTGCATGCAAATACGGTAATTACATTAGACTCCTAATCACTGCCTTGTTGGTTATGTAGATAATCTCTTGGAAGGGAGACCTTTGTTGGGGTATCAAATTGATTTCATTTGCATTATTACTTAAGACCACTTGCTTGCTTTACATAAGAGGATGTGAAATCAGACCACTAATTAACAAGGTTGCAATTATTTCCCCCTACTTGGCACCAAAGTCCCTCTGAACTGCAATTACCTGAAGCTCCATTAAGTGACACAAATGAGATTCCTTTACTGCAATACTGACTTAACAGCTCATGAAGTTTTATGAGGTTGTTTTACTTAAATAGAAGAGAAAGAGAACCTTTCCATCTACATTTAACATTTTCTCAAAGCTCTTTGCAAAGCCATTTAAGTATTTATAACCTAACACTGATGTCCCCTTCCCATTGTCTTAAACAAAGTTTTATGACAATGCTTTAACAGGGCTTTAGGGCAAAGCCATCCCCTTCTTGGGTTAGGGCCAGGCTTTCTGAAAGGGTTAGACTTTTTTGTCAAAGGTCCTGAGGAAAGTCGGAGCCTGAAGCAGAGAAATGGAAATTGGGAATCAGTTTTAGCTAAGGAAGCAAAATGGACTTTCTAGGTCTCAGTGAGGAGCCATGTCCGGCTTGAGGCTATTCCCCGATGTTGGGCAAGATGGCAAGATGGGTGGGCCAGGCTTCTGCCTCATGAGAAATCCAGTAGTTACCCAGGAAATCTTTCCAACAGGGGACTCATAAAGACGGACCAGAAAGCCATTTCTTGCAAGCCTAATCTAACAATTCAATATGTGCATGTCTTTAATGTCTTTCATTATTAACTTAACAGACAAAAAAAAAAAAAACCCTCCAGCAAAATTTTATTTCATGTGTCTCAACCTAACCCCAACTGTGAAGTGGTAAATCAGGGACATGCTCTTGGCTAGAGCCGTTAAGAGGAAGCCAGCATGGTGGAGGTGACAGGAATGAGTGAGCTCCCGCCCGCCACCCCACGTCCAAGGGGACAGAGGGCGGCAAAGGCTAAGATGTAGACTGGGAGGTCTAAACGAGAGATCCTTTCTGTTTGACAATCTTATTTATTAATTATTTTTTTAAGGCAGCTGGCAGGTGTTTTGGGGAAAAACAATAGTTTTTCCCAAAGTCTAGTTCACAGTCACTGATTGATTTTACTTAAAAACGAGGCTCTATTTAGGAAACACTAGGGTCACAAGAGTTCTGTCGTTGCCTGTGGGACCATCTCAGAACCTCTAATATGCTGTGATAATCCACATGAATATGGTATGCAGGGTTTTCCTCTTCTAGGGTGGTACCAAGGAAAAGTATTCCACCAGAACACACCCTGGGATACATGACATGACGGAACATACACCAACTCTAATAAGATTTTGGCTTGAGCACTGGTTAGTTCTCAGCTGGGAGTAAATGAAACTAAAAAGACCCGTGGAAAAAACGTTGTTGAAATCCTGGCCAAGCCACTACAGTATAAGCAGAATTTCTGTGTAAATGGAAGGTGTCTTTCTTCAGCCATCAGCATGCCCCAAGAACGCTATCTATGAGTGTCCACAAGACAGAGATCCCCGGGCAAATTCAGGTTCTGAGCTGAGGCACACCAGCTAAACTGAAGGGGAAGGCTGTAAAATCAGTCACTCCATAGCAAGGAGATCATTTACTGACTTGGAGCAGCAGACGAAATATTAGCATACTGGAGGCTCTGAAAAATCATAAGAAAACAAACAACAAAATTCATTATAGCATTTCCCAAATAGATTCTCCTTCTTAAACAAAACCTGTTAACCTTCCCTTTCTTGGGCTTTACATTCACAAATGTGGTTACCTTGTTAACTCCTGCTCCTCACACCACACCTGGCTCAAGAAGTCTTTTGTAAATAAATCAGTGCCTGATTAATTTGACACATAAATGATTTTCTTTTGAACTGAAAGAATACTTTAAATGCATTTTTGAAAAACACATTTTCATCAAACCATGCTACGTCCTTGATGTATTTCCCCAGAAGTGAGGCAGCAATAGCAACTTACCGGATCCCAAATCGTCATACAGCAGGACAGCAGGCTCCCCACAAATCTGGCTGCCAAAAAGGCATCTTGCTTGGACAGTGAAAGTATAGTTATGACCCAATTTCAGGTTGGAAATTTTAAAGAAATTGTCAGTAGTATTCCCAAGGTAAGCTGTGATATTCATGGCACTATCCAGCATGTGTATCTCGTAGCCCTGGAAACAAACACACAAGACATTGCTCAGAAAGCTAAATAAGGACTCCTGACAGCTTCTATTACTGGTTCTAACTTTATGTGAACTCCTTAGTGCAGGTTGTTATAGATGTTAAAGCACTTTGGGTTTCTTACCAGATCTTTTTACATTATCACTGAGCTACTGGATTCAGAAAATGGGCATTTTCCCATCCCAAATGTCTCAAATAACTACCATGCCCCTTATGAGCTGCAGAGTGGAGTGAAAAGCAGAGCCCTAACAAAAGTCACTGTAACAAATATTTCAGTACACATTCAGAGTTCTGGTCAGCAGTCCACTTGTCCCAAGCACCACTAAATGCCACCAAGAATCTGTACAATTCAATAGTTTGCTGTAATGGGATTTGACTAATAAATCCAGGTTGCATTGGACTCCAGCAATGGGGTAAGAAAAAGGAACTTGCATCAGAAAAGACAGGACATTTGTCCATAGAACAATGCATGGGGACACCATTGTCAGCCCACAGCTCACTTCTTATTTCCTTGCTTTTTCTCTTTCCCACGCTGATAGTAGTCCCACACGAGCCTGGAATTGAAATAGGAAGTGCTTCAGCAGGCTCAGGCCTCCCTACTCTCATAGGGAGAGTATGAAATAAATACGCTTCCTACTTAGACTGGCTGAGGAACAGTCCTGGACTCTTGTGCTGGAAAAGTTACTCATGGGACAGTCCTGACCCAGCATGACCCAGCATGGCCGAGATCAGGACATACCAGGGGTCGGCAAACTTTTGAGACGAAAGAGCTGCCAAGGTTCGGCAAACTGCAGCTCGCCAGCCACATGCAGCAATTTGGGTATGTACATGTGGCTCTGAAGTAAAATTGAAAATGAAAATAAAACTATCATAGTTTCATTTATAATATTAATTTAAAGTTTCCTTATTTGTAAAGATATATTTATGGCTCTCGAATAATTTTTAAATTGTTGTGAGGGACAAGATTGGCTCTTCCAGGGGTCGGCAAACTTTTGAGATAGAACGTACCCAAAGAGCTGCATATGGCTCACGAGCCGCAGTTTGCCGACCCCTGGGATAGACTATTGGACTTCTCTGCTGATCTCCAAGTATTCCAGTGTCAAACCCCCACCAACACCCACCCCACCAGCATAAAAAAGACTTCATCGCTTATCCCTATCCATGTACTGAGCCCAACTGCACACTCAATCTCTTGGTCCCCATTCCATTGACCTGTCTATTCTTGGAACTCTAAGTCATCGGGAGGGAAGGACGTGTAATGCCTACGCCAGAACCCCGCACTGGGGTTGGACCACTGAACTGAACCCCAACATAAAGCTGGGCTCCTGCTACCCAGAAAGGATCCCCGATGACAACTGGCTGCCAAACAGGGTCTCCTAATACCACCTGCCTGAAATCTCATCTCTGCCTTCTTTATAAACTAGCATTATTTTCTATCTATTAATAATATATATTTGGTGTACAACATTTGCAAAATACATAAAGGCATACAGAAAAAAATTAAATGACACAAACATCAACCACCCATAATTTATTCCACCAGTCCTCTTCTGCTGGGCATTTAGGTTGTTTCCTCTTTCTTGCTATCATAACTAAAACTGTCCCAAAGAGCCTCATATATACATTCCTTATGCATATTGTTTACTTAGAGTAAAATCCTAAGAGAACTGCTGGGTCAAAAGGTGTGAGCCCTTTTAACGTTTTTGTGCATATTACCAAAGTGCTTTACAGAGGGCTGAACCAGTTCCCATTCTCAGAGTGTTAACTGCCCCAACTATTACTCATACTGGTAATACTCCTTCCCCAAAACTTTGCCAATTTAATGTGAAGGTGCCATATTTTTGTTATTGAGATCACCAGTGAAGTTGAACCTTCTTTTCAATTGCTTACTGCTGCTGGAATTTTTTTACTTTGTTACCCCGACCTTTTTCAAAATCACAATATCTGTTTTGAATTGCTTTGAAAGCTTTCTTTATATTTAAGCATATTAATCATTAACATGTCATAGTTTGTGCGTTGTAAGAATTTTCAAATTTTAATATAGCTTTGCTTTTGGTATTACACTCTGACTACTGAGAACCCTAGGACTCTGCTGACATTATACTTCGAGGTCACCAGAGTTGACTTATTGTGTCTCTGTTTAGTTCATGCTTTGCTGACAATGGGGCCAACTCAGTTCCATTCAAGAACCCACCCTTGGGTGACAAATCTAATCCCAGGTTTCATTGTTCTTGTGCTCCTAACACCTGTTGTGAATACAGTAACTCACTGCCAATAACTAAACAAAACAAGTGTTTTTCATATGTCAACAATCTTCAAGTACTTCCTGCTCCCTTGAATTTCACTGGAAAGAAGCTGATGAGATACCAGGTTGAGAGTGCAACTCAGGTCCCCAGTACTCAAGCCACAGCCCTGACCTCAGATTGTTTGGAAAAGATGGGGCCCTTGGTTACAATGCTGAGCCCCAGTCCAGTTTCAGGAAGCACAAGCAGGCCTCCAGCCCATTTCTCTGTCTTTCAGGGGAAGACAAGTTCAGGCCTGAAATGTGCTTAGTGCAAAGATTCTCATCTTTCATAGGCAGTATAAACGTTTCACTAATTAGCAATCCCACAGAAAATGGTCCTTTAATTCTCAAGTTCACTCCCTTGCCTCATTCTTTTTTTTTTTTTACTCTATGTCAGCATGCTGTCACCGAGCTCATCTCTAAAGCAGCATTTCAATTAGATTGAGAAGTCATTGAGAAGGAGGAAGGAACTCACCCTGCTTTCATTAAAATACTTCTCCTTCAAAGCTAGACTTTTCCAAAACAGAAGAACATGGTCATTTTCTGTTATGATTTTTAAGGCATCGGGTGCTGATAACGAAACTGGAAATTAAAGATGAAATAAAATGCAGTTAGTGGCCATCCATTTGAATCTCCGTTTTCTTGTCTGTCAAAGGGAGATTAAATAATGCTAACCTTGAAGGGCTAGGTTAAGGAAGAAATAAAACACAGGTAGTACTTAGTATAGAGCCTAGCACATGGTAGACACTCTTTTAACTGGCATGTCTTCTGTTATTATAATACCTTTAGCCAAGAAATTTGGACAGTATCTAATTTAGTGGCTCTTAGACCCAAGGATAGCCAAAAACAAATGGGGTTGGGGAAGGAAAGCATGAAATAGAATGGATTAGACCTGAATCTGCTCTGGTTCCAGCCTGCTTTTCTGCTTTCCTTAGACCTGTCCCCAGAGCCCGAGGGGCCTCAGAGCTCAGTGAGGGGCTGGGGAGTTCTCCTTCAAGTCAGAGTCCTGGAATGACCAGAGTACACTGCCATGCCAGCCTCTACTACTAATACTCCTGACATGACTGCTGTCTGAATAAATGAGCTTATCACCTTCTTCTTGAACTTGAGCCTGACTAGAGCCACTCCCGGCTGGCAGCAAGTCCTCCTTTAATCTACTGCCCAGTTTCTGGTCTCCCTCCATGTCTACATATCATATTGCCACAAGGAACCATTGTGACTTTAGTTCAGGTCCCCAGATGAAATGATTGACTTGAGTGGCAAATGCTCAGTTTTATTTCCTAACTCTCTTGGGTATTCCTCCTCTTCTTCCCTAGAAATGTCAAAACCAGTTAGCATAGAGGAGACCAAAAGAGATACAGAATATTGAAAATGACAGCCACTCCCCAGCCCACAGTGCCCTGGCTACCACACTGCAGCCACATAAAGAACTCCTGCACGGCTCTGCCCCTGAGTATGGATACTGAAGGACAGTGTTTGTCCATCCGGTGCAATTCCTGGGAGTATTCCCTGTCTAGAGGTGTCCTAACAGCCCGGTAGGCTCCTTGCTGTGCAAGAAAGCCTCTAATCTCTCTCCTGCTTACCTGTGGTAATTTTTATACTGGAATCTTTGCTCATGTTCCCCAGTTGGACAATGACATGGTATTTCCCTCCAGGTTCCAACTTGTTAAGGGTGTATTCCACGGTACTGTTGCGGGATTTGACTTTGTAGCTCCTGTCGCTCTTCCGTATTAGATCTTTAACTGCAATTGCATACAACTAGACAAGAAAAAGACATTTTAATGATAATCGAAAATGTGGCATGTTTGTCGTCCTTCTAGGTCAATGGTGGATGACATAAATGTATCAGTGGCCATGACCCATAGCAACAACATGTGAGCCCCCAAGTCTGACTCTGCTCTTTGGGAAGCCGCCTCTGGGTGGCTAGGCCCAAAATGATAACAAGTATTTACTCTCAGGATTGTGCATTGAATTATCAATTCATTCTAAATAAAAAACTCTAGAGAAAGCCATATTTATTGTGACATCAGCAAATAGATAGGAACAGGCAAGAAAAACCCAAATTCATCATTCAACTTCTGTTATCTCCACCACTGTAATAGTTTCAGGATGTTGTCAGAGGAGATAATGAATGAAAATGGTCAAAGAACAAAAAACTTTATTCTCTTTAAGTTGCTTCTTACAGTTATGGGGAAAAGGGGAAACAGAAGGGATGGGTAGTAAGTACAGGAAGCTCAATCATCAGGAAGAAGTTGAGAGTCAAGAAGAGTCTTAGCAAACAAGCATTAAACATCACCGAGCTGGGATGGGGGCAGGGCAGAGAGAATGGAGGTAAAAGCAGCCTGGGGCAGAAGGAAATGGGAATTTTTTGCTTTGTTTTTGTTTTTCTCTAAAATCAATGCCTCTTCTTTTAGATCAGGGGCCAGCAAACTTTTTTGCAAGGGTTCAGATAGTAAATATTTTAGGTTTTGAAGGCCAGATGGTGTCTACCACAAGAATTCAACTCTGCCATGTGTAGCATGAAAGCAGCCATAGATAATATATAAACAAATGGGTATAGCTTGGTTTTAAGAACATTGTATTTATAAATCCGGGGATGGCCTGGATTTGGCCTGCAGGCCTTTGTTTACCACTCCATTTTGGAAGGTCAGGGTAGAAAATTGAGGTGGCAGAGAAGAAAGGGGGACAAGCCAATAATCATAGCCGGGAATGGAGAAGTGACAACTAAGAAAAGGTACCTATAAGAACGCCATCTTTGGCCAGACAGAAATGGGGGACCTCATGCTGAGCTCCAATCACCGAGGCCTATGTGTGGGTCTTGCCCCAATACAGGGCCCACTTCCCACCCCCAAACCAGGATAACTGGCCCACTCACCAAGTCCTGGTCAGGAGAATCATAAGGGGATTCCCACTTGATGACAGCTGAGGTTTTGCCTGTGTGAACCGCATGCAGGTGACGGGGAGGGAGCCTGCTGTCCGGGATCATCCTCACTACCACATAGTCTGAGGACGGCCCTTGGTAAGGGACCACCACGCGGACCTGAAACAAACACCACGTGGGCTCATGCAGTCTTCACTAAATCTTTTTTTTTTTCAGCAAAATAGTGACACACGTTCACAATTAAAAATCAATCAGTACAAAAAGATATAAAATGTAAAACAATTCCCCACCTACACCAGATGGCTAATTCACTTTCCCAGAGGCACCACGGGTAAGTTTTTTGTACTTCCTTCCAGAAATGTCCTATGTGTGCGTGTGTATATAGAGATACATACTTACATATGCATGTGTGTATATGCAGCCTGTTTTCTTAAAAAATCTTTTACACAAATGAGAAAACATTACACATATTATCATGTGCTTCACTCCTTTCATTAATAATACAGCTTAGAAAACTTTCCATATCACTACATTAGAGTTGTTATATTTCTTTTGGATGGTTGTCCTGTATTCCATTGCAAGGATAAGCTATACTATTTTTAACCAGTCCTCTCCTGATAGACATTTGTTCCAAATCTTTTGCTATCACAAGCAATAGTATATTAAACATCTTTTTGCATGTATCATGGCAGACATATAAAAGTTATATAGGCTAAATTGCTAGAAGTAGAATTCGACAAAAACTTTTATCTACTCCTGTGACCCATCTGCCAAGTTCTTAGCCCTCCATAATGGAGCCACAGTTGGTATGGCGGTTCATTTTGTGTTTCAAGCAAGTACTTGTGTACTAGGAAGTACATGTATTAAGAGTAATGATACTTGTGTACTATAGGAAGATAGAGTAACTATCTTCCCATCACTTACATGAATCCTGGAATCCACATCTCCAGGGTCCCAGGTCCTGGGTCTTGGCTAGGGGCCCAGGAATTAAGATGTCCCTTATAAAAACAAACTCCTCTGGCCTCTCTGGTATGGGATACTTACCAGAAACAAATACTGCTCATCCCTACTGACAATGACTGTTTTGTTGTGGAGTGAAGTTGTCAAGCTCTTTGGGTTGCGATAGAGGTCAAGAAAGGATGTAGCATAGAAGATACCATAAACCTGGTAAAAGGAAAGAATAGAAAAGGGACATCAGCTCAGTGGCAATGACCTCACTCTCTTAAAATCCCTAATTTATGACACTGGGAACCACTTCAAAAGAGCTCAGAGAGAAGTCTTCATTCAACATTTATTTCATCAGCATTTATAGAGAAGGCACATTGGGCCAAGCACTGTATTCACACCTACAAAGGTAAATATGGTGTGATCTGTGTCCTCAAAGAGCTTGTTTTTGAGGAGAGATGGGCAGAGAAGGNAAAAAAACCCACGAAACGAACAACAAAAAAAACAACTAAAATACCCCAGTCTGTTATGGACAATGCAATCTTCTCTGAAGCTTATTTTCCTATCTCTAAAATGGAAATACCAAAATTACAAGCTTTTTATGACAAATGAAGCAGAAGTAAGGGGATATCATGCTTTCAAAAAATCTTCCCTGGGCAGTGAATTTCTCTCCAACTACTCACGACAATTGGCCTCATCCTGGCCATCCTGGCAATCTTGATGGCCATCACAGCGCCTCCAGTTGGGGATACACTTCTTTGGCTGGTGACACTCGAACTCAAACCGGTCACATCGCCCAAGCTGGGTGGGAGTGGAGGCAGTGGTGACATTTGCTAGAAAACAAATTTTGTTTTAATTCACTTTTTAGTACTAAGGGAGTTGGCTAGTGACAGCAACCAATTCAATGTGTTAGGAGATTGCGGTGTTTTAGGAATTACAACGAGGACCTAAAGACAAATATGAGCTCTAGATAAAGACAGCAGATTGAATAGACATAGGCATCTAATTTTGCTCTCCTAGGACCCCACTAAGAGACAAGAGCAACAAAATTATGGAAGCTGGAAAGCAGACAGACAGTGGTAGGTGACTAAAGAGACCACAGCAGGATGTATGCTATCCTATTGTCAAAGGAGAAAGAAAGCTAAGAAACCAGCAAGATCAACATCACAGAATTCTCAAAAAGCTCGAAAATGGTATCGCAACTGGGGGAAAAGAGGGAGAAAGTTACAATAAAGAAAATGATTGAAAGATGTATAAGCAGCACCTAGACTTCCTACCCCCGACCCCCACTAGCCCAGGAGACAATCAGCCTGCACATATCCCCTTGGAAGGCTAGAGGAATGTTATTTGGAGAGGGTTAAGAACAGGGTTGTTTTGCCCGCAACTAAAGACTGAACTCAGCACCTTGAGCTGAGGGGCCGCCCGGATGGGTCAGTGTATAGAGCATGCACTCTTAACAATGAGGCTGCTGGTTCGACTCCAGCATGGCTTGGTGGCTACGCCCACCCGCAACTAATTGAACACAGCACCTTGAGCTGAGCGGCGAGACTGGACTTGGAACTGAGCTAGCTGCGCCCTCCACAACTAAGATCAAAGGACAATAACTTGGCTGTTCCCCCTTCCCCAATTCCCCAACACTGTTCTTCTCCCCCAATTCCCCAATAAAATCTTAAAAAGAAAGAAAAAAAAGGAACAGGGCTGTTTAGACAGGCATAGTTGGGATCAAGAATGTGGTACCGAAAAAAGGGGATTAAAGGTACAGATTGCTGAACGAATAGAAAGACCCTTCTCCTCTTGCTCAGGAACCTTGGCAGTAAGACCTTCATTCTCCAGGCGGGAGATTGTAAAAATTTTCTCTAGAAAAACTGACCATCCTCAGAGACAAACCCTAAGATAACCCAGATCAAGAGTTTCCCAAACAGCACAACCATGAAACTCAAAGTTGACAAGCCTATCCACATGTGCAGAATTTCTTAGCAGTGTTTTAGCCCCCAGCCTTAAATACAAGTAAGCAACTGAGGATTATCTCAGGAAAACCTCAGACATGAAAGATAGAAATCAATGCAGACCCCTTCCACCTGCCAAAAAAGAAATGTGGAGGAAACAGAGACTTTGTAAGAAGAAAACTTCAAAAAAGTATCTTTAATGTCCTCAGAAAGTATATTTATCCATAAAAAAGGACAAGATGCCATAAAAAGAGAAACAGTATTAAAAATGTAAAAGCTCTTGGAGCCGGCCGAGTGGCTCAGTTGGTTAAGAGCTCGCTCAAGAGTCTGAGCTCTGAGCAACAGCAGTTCGAGTCCCGACCCGAGCTGAGCAGCCGCTGAGCTGCCAACAGGTGGCAGGATGGCTCAGCTAAAACAAAAAAAAAAAAATGTAAAAGCTCTTAAAATTAAAACCGTAAAAATTCAAATGGAAAACTCAGTAGACAAATGAAAGATAAAGTAAATATTCCAGAGTAGAAAAAATATATATAAAGAAATTAAAAAAGAAAAAGAAAAAAAGTAAGTGGGCCACATCAGAAGATCCAACATATGAATGACACAAGTTCCAGGATGAAAATGAAAACAGGGAAGAAAATATCATGAATGAAATAGTTTAAAAAAAAATCCTTTAAAACTAAAATACATAAATTACCAGAATAAAAAGCCTATCAGTGTTCACTACGTTGGACAGAAAAGGACCCACATCAAAGCACATCACTGTAAAATATCAAAACAATAGAGCCAAAGGGAAGATTCTATAAGCTTCCATAGAGTAAACACAGGTTACATACAAAAAAGATCAAAATCAAAATGGCTTTGGATTGCCCAAGAGCTGTTTAAAGACAGTAGAGCAATGCCTTCAAACTTTTGAAGGAAAATTGTTTACAAACTAGAATTCCAAACCCAGCCCAACTACCAATCAGGTCTAAAGAGAGAAGAAAGGCACTTTCAGACCAGGAAGACCTCACATGTATCTCCCATATACCCTTTCTCAGGAACTTTCTGGAAAATGTTCTCTATCAAAACATGAGATTAAAAAAGAGAAAAATCTGGCATACAGAAAACTGAAACTCCAACACAAAAGAGGTAAAGTGAGTCCTTAGGATGATGGAGAAGCAATAGCCCAGAAGATACCGGTGCCCCAGGCATAGAGGTCAACCAGCATGAACCAGAGCAGCAAAACTTAACAAACACATTGAGGCTTTCATCACTATGTCTTTGGCCACTGTATCATGATATTCACATGACAAAGCTACTCAAGGGTCTGCTCCACCACAAGAAGGGGGTAAACCAAGAAAAAACAAGTCACAACATCCAGGAAATAGGGAATCTAAGTCAGGAAAAAGGCAAGGAGAATTCCAAGGAGGGCAGTGAAGTCCCAGGGTCAGAGGCATGTAGCAGACCTAGAGAAGAATCAGCATAGAAAAGAGAGGCCCAGCTCTGACAAAGGGGATCACCAAAAGACACACTGGAGCTGAGGAATCACCTGATACGGTGACCTTGTGGAAAGTTATTCTGGAAGGCTACTGACCGGTGGAAAGCATTAGCAAATGGTACAAAATAACATGAACTAACAAACAAAAACACCAAGTATTAAACTTTTGGATAGTATGTGTATTCCACAGTTTTAACTGGATTTTCAAAGGGGCCTCTCCAACCCCAGAACCACTCTGCTAAAACAGGTACATGGAGAACAGTGGAAAAAATGAGGTTAGGAAGCTAGGTCAAGGCAAATCACAGCACTCATACTCAGACAATAAGAGAGCCATCAGAAGGTTCTAGTACTAGGGGAGGACATGATTGTGCATCAGTGTGTGGCTTCTTGGAAGATGAATTGAAAAGGGAATAGACACAAGGCAACGAAACCATGTAGAAGACTTTTACACTGAAGAAATAACATCCAAGAGCTAGAGATAGCACCAATCTAAATTTGTACCAATAATGTACATAAAAAAGAAATCACAAAAGCTGAATGGAATATCTAAATAGGAATCTGATCATTCATTGGATAAGTCAGAATTTGCTACAGTTTGTTAATGTCATAGTCAGAGTTTCAATAACCAAAATGAATTTTGAGAGGACAATCAAGTTACTAAATAGAGAGGTGGGCCTTGGGGGAAAAAGGCAGAGATAAAAGGTTTTGTTTTGGTTTTTTTTCCTTTTTATAACAAATAGTTTTAATTTGAGAAGCACTTATAGGATACCCGACCATTTGCCTACAAGGTGATAAAAAAAACGGTGAATGTTTAAATTTAAAAAAATTATTACAGTAAAGAACACATTGCCATTAATCCCCCTCAAAATAATACCCCTTGTTTCATACACACTTATTCCATTGCTCTTGCCACTTTCTGAAGCAGCTCTGAAAGTCCTCTTTCATGACTGTCTTTACTTCATCTTCCATCATGACAATGCTCTATGTCACACATTGCTTCTAGTATGGCAATTTCTGTCAGATAAAAACATGATGGTGTATCCTCACCCACACTATTCACCAGATCTAGCACCATGCTATTTCTGGCTCTTCCCCAAAGTCAAAATAACTATGAAAGGAAAACATTTTGAATCAGTTCAGGACATTGAGGCAGCCACGACAGCGTAACTAAGGATACTCACAAAAGAGGACTTCCAGAACTGCTTCAGAAAGTGGCAAGAACAATGGAATAAGTGTGTTTGAAGTGAGGGGGAGTATTTTGAGGGGTCTTAATGGCAATGTGTTTTCTACTGTAATAAACGTTTATTTATTTATTTATTTATTTATTTATTTATTTATTTATTTATTGTTTTT